GTGATTATGTCAGGGTAAACATGTTTATTCTTTGAACTAACTTCTAGTAGCACTGTAGCTCTGTAGCCCTGTTCTTCCATTGCTCATGGGTTTGCTCAAGCGGGCACCAGTAACGTCTCACAACAAATTGTGAGACTTGTTGTTACTGTTTTTGGCACATCGGATATGTCACGGGGAGCTTGCCAGGCTTTGCTATGCGGGTGAGATACTCTCAGTAGCTTGCCGGGCTCTCTAAGAGGGGCAGAGGAATCGAACCCAGGTCGGCCGGTGCAAGGCAAATGCCCTACATGCTGTGCTATCGTTCTAGCCCAACTTCTAGTATATGAATTAATTCTCCAATCTTTCTGTGCTAGCTGCTCTTCTTAAACTGTTTATAGATGAGAACCTGATTCCTAGGATATCTTGAATATTATCAAGATATTCATTGGAGAGGGGCCAGAGAAATAGCAGGTAGGGCTTTTGCATTGTACACAGCTGACTCAGATTCTATACTTGTCACCCATTATGGCCCTCTGAACCCACCAGCCCGGATGTGGTCCAAGAACAGAACAAACAGAAAATATATCCAATGGAGAAATGAGATCACAGCCCAGGATATGTAATTCCGTATCTTCCCTTTCAACCACCACAATAGGGAGAGAGCCCTATAATGGGAGAAGTGCTCGGTGATATACATAGAACAGTCGTTCTACAATCTGATAGTAGGCATTGGAAAGATAACATTGCCTGAAAATTTTATGTTTGGGGAAATATTGATTTAAAAAAGCTATCTGTAGGTTTTGGCATTTATTATAGTGGGTCAGGAGGGAAATGAGAGTTATGTAAGAAGTAAAACTAAGGCAGCAGTGAGGAGAAACTCTTGAGGACTCTGGTGATCATGGAGGAGTCGTAATATGAATACATACTAGGCTTATGAAGACCAATAAAACTCGACTATAAACAACCTAAACAAACATCTCTCTTATCTTGTAAAATAATCATTTTGTTAATGTCTCCAAATGACTCTCTCTGAAAGAGATTTGTATTTAAATGTCGACACATTTCCTTGCTTTCTGCACAAGCTTAATAGTTTAACTTAGTGGAATGTACATTGATTTTTTTTAAGTTGTAACAATATGAATACATATGATTTTGCTTTTATTTAATAACAGGATATGAGATATATTGGCTAATTTTCATGTTTTTAAATCGTTTCTTATAAAGATAATATAAAAAACACTTTATTAATGTTATCAGTCTATCAAAATATTATATAAAAGGGACATTACCCAGAGATAATATGTTGCTTTCCATTTGTGACAAATTTCCAGTTAACATAAACCAATTAATTGCCTATTAAATATATTCAATAAGTTCTCTGGATTTGTTTTTGAAAATACACCCAGAACCTGGAGCGATAGCACAGCGGTAGGGCGTTTGCCTTACAAGCGGCCAACATGGACGACCCGAGTTCGATTCCTCCGCCCCTCTCGGAGAGCCCGGCAAGCTACCGAGAGTATTCGATATGCCAAATACAGTAACAACAAAGTCTCCAATGGAGACGTTACTGGACTCGCTCGAGCAAATCGACGATCAACGGGAGGGCCTTTACCTTTACCTTTACCTTTTACCCAGAACCTGACCTCTTAGCAACACTTGCATATGTGCTACACTGGAACTTGGAGCAGAGTCACTGAGACTCAGTAGACTTGTATAATAACTTCCTACGAGGTCTCCATTCTGTAACTCTTGTCTCCTTAAAGTCTTTTTTCCACCCAGCACCCACAGGAAGTTTTAACAAAAGGAAAATTAACTACCATCATTTTTCTACTCAGATCTCCCTAGGGTACACCATTACGTTTAAAATTTAAACTCTTTACTGTGATTTGCAGAGATTTCCCAGATTGCCAGGACCTTGACCTATCTAAGGCATTTTCTAAAATTTTCTTTCACTCAAAAATTCCAGCCAACCCAATCTTCCTGTTACTCATTGATTTCTGTATGTTCTTTTTAAATTTTCATTAATTAAATTTTTTATTGAATTATCGTCAGATACAGTTACAAAGCTTTCATGTTTAAGTTTCAGTCATATGGTGATCGAACACCCATCCTCCACCAGTGCAAATTTTCCACCACCAATGTCCCAAGTATCCCCTCCCCACCCCCATCATCCCAGCCCTCCTGATTATCTGTATGTTCTAATCCCAGGTTTGTACCAAGAAATAAACCAGATTCACAAATAAGTTTCACTTTTGGTCCCATAATCTTGATGTATTGTTATTCATATTGTTATTGTTATAGATTTTGTTTGTCATATTGGCTCACTTGTCAGATTGACTCTTTGTTGATGCCTTGGGTACCACTCGAAGTGATCTCCGAGCCTCTAGGATTTAGCTCTGAGTACCAGGGTTGTCTCTCAACCCCCAGCTTCAAACACCAAAGAAAAAATACTTTGCTTTTCTAACACTAATGCCGTATATAAGGTTTTTATTGCAAATAATTTGGATATGTCCTCCTTCCAATTTTTGTAAACATTGGATAAAATTCTATTGGTACTTAGTTCACTAAAAAATAAACGTACTATTTATTTGTTTATTCATATTGCCCAGAAGACCCATCTACTCAATAATAAATGAATTTATGATGAATTAATGAAAGAATACATGGCAAATGGATTAAAAACAGGTTCACTGACACAATATTTAAAGTATTTTATCTGAAGTATTGCCTCATTGTTGGGTTCATTAGATAGAGCCCCATTAATGATTTCTCTGTAACTGATTAATATTGAGACTTTAGAACCATGGTATTATTAGGGAAAAGAAAACAACAAAGGATAAACATACTCTTATATATCTGGATTTTAATTATTACCATGTCCTAAACACTAGTAAACCACATGTGGACAATTAGATGTATTATTCACAAATTTAGTGGCATAAGAATTTAAAAAATGTATCAGGTGATTCAATTTTACATACAAACTCTATCACTGACTAAAAGAGTCTATCTACATTTTTTTGTAAAATGGAGATAACACTATATTTCTTATAATAGACTATTCGAGAAAATTGAATTTTTACAAAATGCAAGAATGGGACATAGCATGTAGGTTAGAAAGGAACTATGAAGTAAGAAATAACAGTAGTCACCGTTACTATTAAAATCTTCAGTCTTAGCTGCTCTCACAATCCTGGAAAGCATATTGTTAGCATTGAATGGGAAAGTTGTACAGCTACAAATTAGAGGACAATGAATAATCTCATTCACATGGATTTGATTTGTTGGGATTACCTTGTATTTTTCAAAATGCTACTGAAGTAATAAAAAGATACAAAAAAATTAATGAAATAAAATGGCTTTGTAAGAAGAAAATGATTACACAGAATAATTTGACTAAATTGCATTCCCAGAAATTACTCTAATTGTGTTGCAATCGTAGAAATTTGCTATAGAGATTGGTTCACTTTAGCTTTGAAGTGATGCCAGTTCACTATAAAAGTTAAGACTTAATGGATCCCGGATTAAATCAACATGTTCTCATCATAAACTATACTACTAATGTTTGGTAAATAGAATTATAGATCAAATTTTAATTGGCCATTGGCCATTTAACAAGGCAATTTTGTTATCTCCTGTCTGCTTAGTTTTTTAAAAATATTGTTTTATAACACCAAATCAAATGATTGAACTCTTGAAAGCACTATATATCACTATATATGGTTATTGATGTCAAGATACTTATTTTATGAGTATCAATAAAGTTAACAAAATAACCAAAAACATTTAAATTTATTTGAAAAGATGAAATATATAAGCACCAAACTCTTTTTGGAATTATATCAAATGGAATATACATTTATTTTGTGTGTGTCTGTAGTTCTTGTTTGTACTTAAAGCCATCACATAAAATATTTCTTATTTTATATGCTTTTATATTGACCAAATTTACTTATTATCTTATTATAGATATTATAGAAAATATCTTATTATAGATATTTTCTTATACAACTGATATTCATATCTGTTAAATTTTCTTCTATTTCTTAGAATTATAAAAAATGGGCATTCATAAAGCCTTTTAAATTCTTATTGTTATTAAAATAATATTTGTATTATGGATTAATGATTTTTACTTAGGTAAAAATTAATGTTTAGGGTGATATTGAATTCTGTTAAGTAAATCTGTCTTCAGTATAAAAATGACATGTGTCAAGTAGAGTTTGTAAATTCTAATTTCTGTTTTCTTCTTTTTTTTTAAAATTCTGTTTTAGACACTACAATTAATATACTGCTAATTATTAGGGTTTCATTCACAACATATTCTTATACTACAATACTGCACCCTCTAACATAATGTCTTTGTCTTTCCACTGTGGTTCTAGGGTTCATCTCACCAGTCCTATCCTCACCCCCAAACACCTGCTTTCTGCCACTGTAGAAACTTAGTACTAAAGACCTGTTCTCAGTTTCTGTTGCATTTAGGTATTTATTATTCATTTTAAAATGTGTAAAATGTATAATTTAATTTTAAAATCCTTTTAGTACATTATAATAGCACGGTAGCACTGTCTTCCCATTGTTCATCGATTTGCTTGAGCAGGCCCAGTAACGTCTCCATTGTGAGACTTGTTGTTACTGTATTTGACATATTGAATACGTCACAGATAGCTTACCGGGCTTTACTGTGCGGGTGAGATACTCTCAGTAGCTTGCCAGGGTTTCCAAGAGGGGCGGAGGAATCGAATCTGGAACGACTGGGTCGGCCGCATGTAAGGCAAACGCCTTACCCACTGTACTATCGCTCCAGCCCACATTATAATATAAGATATAAATTTATTTTTTATAAGTTACTTAGTGTCTCCAGTAATTCAATAATATTAATACTTTGACGTGTTTTCTTTAACAGATGGTCATATAAAAATTATTGTCAGTAATTAGAAAACATGATTAAATAAAGTGAGTACATTTAGAGAAAATGTAGACATATACAAGGATCTAATATTCTCTTTCTTTCTTAGCCCTAGGGAAAGATAAGGATTACATGGATGAATCAGAACATGCTAATTATGACCGATCTCGACTCATTAAAGACTTTGTTCCTAAAGATAATTCAGAATCCAAGACAAGATTGTCAAAGGTAACACTATTTTTATATCTATATATAATTTTCTTCAGTTTTAATGTGCTTTGAGAGGTATGGTTTAATGATTTTTTTACTATAAAATGAACCACTATATCTATTAATACCTTATTTGAAGACATACGTTCTTAAACCTTTCAATTATCTTTAATATTGTTTTAAATTACTCTGGAGAATATTACAAGTGAAATAGATTAGTTTACCACTTGAAGTACTGAAAATTAATGATCATAAGGTGTATATGTGTGGACAGCATATTTGTTTATATTCTCAAAGTTTTATAAACTAAGCCACAAAATGATCCAGAATATGTTTATTGTTTATTTCTTCAGTATTAATATGCTTTGAGAGGTATTATGGGTTTAATGATTTTTTTTAGTATAAAATGAACCAAGATTAAGATTCCAGATTCATTTCTTACTGGCTGGACAGGTTAAATTCACTTTAGTTTGCAAGTCATGTTGTCTATTTAACAAACTTCTTTTATAAGTATACAAAATATCTATATTAAAGTATCTAGTAATAAGCAAAATCAAACAGTGATTAAATCCTTGGCTTTCTATTACAAAACTTATTTCCAAGCAGTATCACTGTATCACTGTCATCCTGTTGGTCGTCGATTGCGTCAAGCAGGCCCCAGTAACGTCACCTTCGTCCTAGCCCTGAGATTTTAAAAAGTGCCACATTCGAGGCTCTTTCAGGGTCAGGAGAATGAGACCCATCATTGTTACTAGTTTTTGGCATATTGAATACTCCATAGGGAGTTTGTCAGACTCAGCCGAGTTTCCAGTCAGTGAGTGTAGGAAAAGATCAGATCAGTGGTGGTATAGGAAAAGTGGTAGAGCATCATGGGCACCTTGTGGTAGTGGGTGGTAGTAACTTTGTACATCTATACCACAAACTTCACTGTCACTGTCACTGTCCTCCTGTTGTTCATCAATTTGCTCGAGTGGGCCCAATAATGTCTCCATTGTGAGACTTGTTGTTACTGTTTTTGGCATATCGAATATGTCACGGGGTGCTTGCCAGGCTTTGCCGTGCGGGCGAGATACTCCAGGTAGCTTGCCAGGCTCTCCAAAGGGGTAGAGGAATCGAACCTGGGTCGGCCGCATGCAAGGCAAACGCCCTACCCGCTGTGCTATCTCTCCAGCCCACCATAAACAATATTGTTATTGTTACTATATTGCCTAAACTATAATTTTTTGTTTGCTTATCTTTGGCCTACAGTAAGTGATGCTCAGGGTTTACCCCTGGCTCTATACTCAAGGATCACTTCTTAAGGACTCGGGAGATTTCTGGGTTTAAACCTGGGTTGACTGCCTGCAAGACAACACCCTACCATTGCTCTGGCCATCACTCTGTCCCCAACCTAAATATATTAATAAAATATATTTTTAATTAAAAAGCAAACAACAAAACCCAAACTATATATATAGTTTTATATATTTATAAAATGTATAAGTATATATTATTTTAATTAAAAAGAAAACAACAAAAAACATGAACTACACTTATAAACTAAATAAAATACAGGTATACAAAATACATATTGCATTATAGGTAGCATCACTACATTGCATATTTAAACTCTCTAGGATGGAAGGCCTTAACATTTCTTATAACTCAAAAAATATGAAATATGAAATGACTCAAGTTAAGTAGATTTATTGTGGTAAAAATTTTGTATGTATACATTGATCAAATCATCAGGTTGTGTCCCAAAACTAATGCAATGTTATATGTCAACTGGATCTAAATAAAACTGGAATAATAAAAATACAGTACTCAAAACATTAAACACTCTATATAAAAGATCTTATAACAATATGAAGATTAAGAATATAGAAGAAGAATGATAGTTTATTAACAAATGAATGATTAGAAGATTCAATTTTTATAACACCTTCTCCTTTGATACCACAAATCTAGAAATGAAATAAAATTGGGGATGCTTCCAAATTCTACAGTTATATTACGCCAAATACATTTTAATACTTTCCAAGAAAAATTCTGACAAACCAATTTTCTCCCCAATTTAATTGATTAAAATGGGGATGTGGTTTTGTGTGGAGAAGAGGGAATGCCACATCAAGTTATCCTGTGTCTTACTCCTGGCTCTGCTCAAGGTTCACTCCTGGAAATGCTTAGAGGACCATAAACAATATGCAAATAAAATTGGGGTCAACTGCATGCAAGACATGCACCTTACCCATTGATTTATCTCTCCAACATAAGTGAGAATAACTTTGTAAAAATGAAAAAAAGGTTAAGAGGGGGTTTTAAACAAAAAAGAAAAAAGAAAAGGATAAAAGGTATAATTTACCTTCAGGAATTACTTTGTGGTCAGTTCTTGTATGGCTAGGAATCACTTCCTTGAATATAATGCTGTGATATATTATTTGGTATGAATTTGGCTAACTGAATATTTATTTTTAATCACCACCAGCACAAAAGCAGACTGATTTAAATGTTCCATTAAGGGCCAGAGAAATAGTACAGCAAGTATGGTACTTATCTTTCACATAGCTGATCTGGGTTCAAATCTGGCAACAGTCTTCTGAGCTCCATCAGGAGTGATCAGTGAACTCGGACCCAGGAGTGGCTCATAAGCAAAGCTATATGTAGACAAATAAATAAAATTACATAAAAAATTGCACCACACTTCAATAAGTAGATGAAGGAATAAATATTTGTACCATTAAAAAAAATTCCCCTTTGAGTTTGTTTCATTAAAAGGAATCATAAATTGGAGCCAATAATTTACTTTTACTCTCAAACTATTATACATTTAGATCTTCAATTGATAAATTTGTCGGCCTCCCTCTTATTCCACTCCATTAAATGATCTGCATAAATTTGTTTATGTCTGTTCTGTATCAGATAATATGTTTTAAGTTAGTCTTCATGAAATTAATGATATGCCTTTTTAACATTTAAAGTAATTTCCATATGGCATAAAATAGCATGTATAGGGACTAGAATAATGACGTACTTGTCTTCCATGCAATCGACCGGGTTCTATCCTTAACACTCTACAAGGTCCCCAGAGGCCTTCAGAAATGATCTCCAACACAGAACCAAGAGTAAGCAATGAGCACTTCTGGGTGTGCTTCCCCTCAAATAACATGTGTACAAAATTTACTGTGTGACTGAAAATTTGTATATGTTACTTGCTTGAGATAATGTATTGGTTGCAACTTGCTCTGTGCATATTATATAGTGCAAATTCTACGTTATTTCTTCAGAAATATGACTTTATAGCCAAGGGACTGTTTTAGACAAGACAAAGCAAGTTTTATAGAATTAGCAGGAAGAGAGTAAAACCTCTTAAGGGAAAGTGACTCCTAAAGTAAACTATAATGCAAGCAATTACAAGGTTTTGATTATGCAAAACAAATGGAACATTCTACTAAAGTCCGTCATAAACTGTAAAATAGATTGAAAAGAAATAGCTAATAGTTCTTCAAGGCCTTATCTTAGATTGAATTTATGAGGAAAATAGGTTGAGTTGATCTGTGAAAACGACTCTAGAAATACAATCTGATTAGTTTATTGAAAATGATATAGATGTCACATATGTTTAATAATGTAGTTTGTCAACCCTTGTGTAAACACTTCCTCATATTTTCAGGAAGTTTCCTTTATCTCCACATGTTCTCAAACACTCGCCATTGCTGTCTTTGACATAGGCCATTCTCACAGGTGTGAAGTGGTAGCTCCTGTGGTCTTGTTTGCATTTCTCTGGTGATCAGTGATGATGATGAGCACTGCTTCATAGGCCTTTTAGACAGTTGTACATCCTAATTGGGGAAACATCTATAAAAATATCATTCCTAGATTTTTCTTTGTTTCACTGTTAAAAATCATAATCTTTAAGCTTCTAACATTTGTAATATATATCTGCGTTTCAAAATCATGATTGCACTTACTATGATGTCTTGATAATGATACACTAATTTTTTGTTTTACATTTATTTGGAAGCTATTATATGCAGAGATTATCAGTGCAGGAGAGAAAAAAGATAATGAATGAACAAAAATTATTCTGTATAGTTAACAGGATGCAATTTAGAAAGTAGACATCCTTATACATGGCGAAAGCAAAGAGGCTCTAGAAATTAGGAAAAACACTAAATAGGGTATAAGTCTAGAATTAGCTCCCCTCCTGCTTTATGTTATAAACCATAATTAAATGCTCCACAGCATAATGTTGAGAGAAAATTAGTCACAATTGTTTTTTTCCCTGTATCTTCTCTATTTTCAATGAGACTTTGCAGTTATCGAATCAAGAGATAGAATTTATTGCATGGGACTTACTTTAGCCAAAAGATTGCTGCAAATATAATGGTATGCTAGTACTGGGTCCAGCATTGGATCAAAGGTTCTTTCTTGGGGACTAGAGAAGGGCAAGAAGGACAGTTTTGGTACCACAGGAAGCGGTGCTCAAGAGTTACTCTTGGCTCTGCACTTAAGGTTCCTTCCTGTTGGGCTTGGGCGACCACATGGGATGTCAGGAATAGAACCCAATTTGGCCGGGTGCAATGCGAGCACCTTACATACTGTGCTATTGCTTGATCAACCCATCCTCAATACCTCATATGGTCCCCTGAACCCCACCAGGATTGATTCTTGAGCACAGAGCTGGAAGTCAGCCCTGCCTGAGCCTCAAGAGGCGTGACAAAAAATAATAAAGTTTTCTTTCTGGGGTACTCACCTATAATTTTTTTTAAATAAATTCGAGCTGTAGAACTTCTCGATTTCTCTTTCATCATAATGAGATGTTGGTGCATAGACAACTAAGATAGAAACTGCAGGCAGTGAGCCACATCTATTCAAATGTAAACGTCCTATTCGGGTTGTTAGGCATTCGAATGAATCAATGCTCTTGGCCAAGTTTGTGTTGACAAGGACACCTACGCCTCCAACACCTCTTTTATCGCATGTTCCGAGGAATAATTCTTCTCCAGTGTCGAAAACGGCATGGTGAGATTCGTGCC